TCCAGGTGGGAATGGGGCTGGAATCCCAGGGGTATCCAGGGGAAATTGGGGCTGGAATCCAGGGGGTATCCAGGTGGGAATGGGGCTGGAATCCCAGGGGGTATCCAGGGGAAATTGGGGCTGGAATCCAGTGCTGCCTGTCCGGGGCAGACCTGGCGTCCGAGATGTCCACGTGGGACGGGGTGATCGTGACCCCCTCGGAGAAGGCGTACGAGAAACCCCCGGAGAAGAAGGAAGGGGAGGAGGAAGAGGAAAACCAGGAAGAGCCAGCGGCGGGAGAGGAGGAGGAGAGCATGGAGACCCAGGAGTGAGGGCACAGGGACACCCGGGGCAGGGGAGGGACCTCCCGGCGTGGCCCTGTCCTTGTTTTTATAAGCTGCACATTAAAGTGTGACCCCCCCTCCCCTCTCCACGGAGTCCTGGTGGGTCAGGGACACGCGGGATGCGTGGGAGTGACACGGGTGGGGCGGCAGGAGAAGGTGCCAGAAGGTGAAAGGACCCACCTGGGGGTGCCTGAACCCCAAATCCCACCTGGGGACACCCAAATCCCACTTGGGGACACCCAAATCCCACCTGGGGATGCCCAACCCCCACATCCCACCTCAAAGTGTCCAAACCCCAAATCCCAACTGGGGACACCCAAATCCTACCTGGGAGTGCCCTCACTCCACCTTGGGCCTCCCAAACTCCCTTTGGGGGTGCCCAAATCCCCCCTTGGGAGATGCCCAGACCCCCCCTGGCAGCTCCCGCTGTCCCCAATGTCCCCAAAGCCCCTCAGGGACGTGGCACCATCACGGACTCCGACGTCACTTTTATTCCAGCGCCCCCAAATCCAGGCACACTCCGGGCAGGTTGGGGGGGTGTCCCTGCTCCCTGTGCTGCAGGTGAGAGGGGGGACACCTCCTCCAAATTCCCAAGGCTGGGATCCCACAGGGAGGATACCTGGCTCTCACTTGCCCTGGTAGCCCCCGGCCTCCAGCATCGCCCTCCTGCGCACGGTCTCCTTGGCCACGCTGTGGTTCAGCCTCCTCAGCCGCTCCTGGGCAGGGAAATCCCTCACTGTGAGTGGCTCTGGGACCCCCCCAAAACCCCCCCTTCTCTGCCCCTCAAAGCCCCCCACCTGGGCGTTCTGCAGGATGTTGTTGACCAGCACCACCCGGCGCCGGGCGTTGAGCAGCTTCTTCACGTAAGGGTCGAGGTCCAGGGCCACCTTCTGGTCCTCGTTGATGCGGCAAAGCTCTGGGGGAAGGGGGCACAGAGCCCGTGAACCCCAAAAACTGGGGGGTGAGGGGGGTGGCAGAGGTGATCCCCCCCACCTGTTTTTTGGCTCACCTGTGGCCAGGCTGTCAATGTGTTCCCGCAGCTCCACTTGGCTCTCCCTGCGAGGGGAGGGCAGGGAAAACGTTGGGCACCACCCCAAAACC